AATAAAAAATAGTATTCATAGCTAACAGTAAATTTATATGTAAATATTTCTAAATAAGGAAAAAAAATTAGGTAATAATTATTTGTTACAGTCTTTTTCCCGTGGTATCTTATATCTGTATTATAGATGTAAATTACAAAACACATTTTGTTTTTTAATATTAGTTTTGTACTTAGTTTAGAAGGTTAAAACATTTTAAAGTTAAATATTTAGTTGATTTTTTTTTTTTTGCGATGCAAGCTGTGCTTTGTACAGGGTGATAATTTTATCGTGAATCACTCAATATCCTATAGGGTTTAATAAGAAATTTAATTTTTTTTTTATGTTTTTATACAATAAGATCTCAATTTTCCACATTCTTTTTGTGTTTACCCCCTACCAACTTAGTTTTTTTGACAGCAACGTTTGAAACTTAAATGGTAAAACATGAATTTCATTAATTTTTTTTAATTAAGAATATTTTACATACAAATTTAACTGATCAATAACCAGTCTTGGATAAATATTTTCTAAGTAATTGAAGTTAATAGTTTAGAGCTGGAGAAAAGGGAGAGTGTAGTATTGTTGTTATCTACGCACACTTCCCCTCCCATCCTAACTTTTAAACTCTTTTAACCTTAAAAATAGTTGTTCAAGACTGGTTATCGACCAGTTAAATTTGTAAGTACAATATTCTCAATTTAAATTTCTAATGAAATTCAGGTGCTACCATTTATGTTTCAAACGTTGCTATCAAAAAAACCAAGTTGGTAGAAGGTAAACACAAAAAATGTGGAAAATTCAGATCATATTGTATAAAATCATTATGAAAAAAATATATAAAATCTCTTATTACACCCTATGAGATATTAAGTAGTTCACAAGAAAATGAAACTTGACTTTTAAAAATTACTTTTAGAATCGAATGTAAATGATTTTTGAGCCAACCCGTTACAAACATTCTATTACCTTATTATATATTCTATTATTTAACACTGATAGATTAACTACAATGCAATATGTCAATTTTTTAAATTTGATAAATCGAATATTCGCCCTCCACTAAAACAAAATCCTGGCTTTACCAAGTGTTATAATTTAGGTGAAGTAAACCAAACAAACATGGTTTGTTGTTTATCTAAAACAAGTGTTTTATAGCGTATTTTGTTTTGTCTTTTGTGTAGGTAACTATTCAAATATTTAAACTATTTTATTTGCATGGCTGTAGAACTCTAATAATCTAATAATTTTAGCGAATAGCTATTTTGTACATTTAAGTACAATAATTTTTTTATAAATTATCCTAATGTAAACGTTTATAATTATCTCTTCGTCATCATCGTCAGCTTAATAGATCTTTAATGTCCAACGCTGTCATCATGAGATAATGGTTTTTCCACGATTAACCTTAACCATGACTCGCGGTCATAAATACATTTATATAAAATAAAACTGTACACAGTTTATACTTGTACCACTAAGTTTAGGCACATGTCCAATTTTTTGAAACACATTTAGTTAGCCACGCGATTTTATTCCTTACACCAAGAGCCATGTTTCTTATTAAAAGTTGACATATCCTGAAGTCGCTTAGAGCTAGTATGGCAGCAGTTATATATGTTTTGAAATACTTGTGTAAATTTTACATAACGTTAGGTATTACAAATTCATTTTAAATAGTTTTTAGTGTTTAATGGGGTGGATACTAATAGGGTTATTCGTCTGAATATAATAGTTTAATGTCACAGTTACCTATAATTCGTAATTAACATTTTCAAATATATGTTGACTGTTGATTCACACACACATAGCAACCTAAAATTTGACTACGGTCAAAGTGTAATTTTCCATTGAATTTATACCAACAATTTTTTTATAAATGGTTAATTATTCATAATAGACTACTTGTTTTCCATATTTTTTGAGTGTTGTCAAATAAATCATTGAGTTACGTGTTTATATAAAACCCAATAATTGTATTTTTATGTTGTAATATGTCTACTTCGCCATAATCTGTGTACTATCAGGTGATCGATCTACTGTAAGGTACTTGTTTTATCGGAAAAATGAATACTGTGAAAAAAGTGCACTTTTTAAATTGTTGGCCCTTGAAAGTACCTTCGAAAGACCCTTCGAAGCCCTTGTTAAGCTATACGATGATGCTACTTTAATATGCTATTGATTATAGTAAAACAACATTTTAACGTTAAGAAACACATGATTATAAAACCATTAACTTTTCAGCTTCGGATTAAAGGGGGGGGGGGGGGGGGGGTGGTCCGTTGAAACTAAATAATACTTGGAATAAAATATTCGTTGGAGAAAAAGTTGTTTAGAACAAAAGGTTATTGGTACAAGTACCGTCATAATGGCTAGGTTTAGGCTAGGCTAGGTCATTACACCCATAAAAAATTACACCTAGTATACACTAAAATAAAATAATTTTCAAACAAACTCCCGTTATATATCGAAATTGTAAAACACGAGTAAAAAAAGACAACCCTCAGAGGGGAAAGAAGTAAAGGGGGTAGAGTATTGTATTGTCAGAATGATTAGGTTAAACTAGACCCGCAAAATAAGTTTAAAAAAAGGTCAATCTCCTCGGGAGACGAAAAGGCCAATAAAAATGATGATTATTGGTCTTTTTTACAAATGTAAATTCTAATAGTAAAAATACAATTTGTCTACGATTCCATCCACATTGTCAAAAATGTCTGTTGATTTTTAGAGGTCATCGAGTATTCTTATTGCCAACTAAAAACGTAGTAAAACAATATTTTTAAGTTTTAGAGAATTTCGAAAAATCAAATTACACCAATCAAATGAACTTTTTCAACAATTTTTATAAGCATATAAATGTAATATTATGTTCACGAAACAAATCCAAATTTCAATGCGGGTTGTACAAAGACTTTCTCTTTCAAAAAGAATGACTGTGGTCTTTTCAACCTAATATATTGAAATCATCAGTAAATGAACACCAAAAGCGGCAATACCTATAAATATTAATTCAGCGACACGATATTTGTGTTAACTGTAGTTGACTTCGTTAAACGAACGCGGTAAAATATCGCAACATTACTTTAACAAGACAATAATTAAGGACATGCTAACACTCTTGTGTTATCCATTTATTCACAGTACCTATAATAAATCAGTTGAGAGATTGTCATAGGACAGCAAGTCCGGAAGTCGTCAATAATAATATTGTACACATCGAATGTGTGTAGTTGTCGCATATTATTATTATTATTATTTAGAGGACGTTATGCCTTTACATATTTAGTAGGTAAAATAATATTCATAAAGATTGCATATTGTGTTTTCTTGGGACAACATAACATGGTAGGGTCCTCATGTTTTCATAACCTAATCTTACCCAACCTAAAGAAGTTATAGCTATTTATAAACGTATAAAAATTATCTAGATTTTTGTTCATTATAAATATTAGAAAACCTATTAAATTTATCAAAAATCCACCAACGTTTAGCCATTAGAAATAGTATATTTCATAAAATATATGCATGCTATGATAATGCATGTTTTTGCTCTAAACTTTGACAGACCAAGCAAAACGGGTTCTGCGTACCTAACTCTGTTAATTCTAAAAATATTATTATGGCCTTTGTGATAACATGATATGAAAAAATAACTATCAATAAATAATCCTCATTGCTGTAAGTACTTACATATTTTGTTAAATCTAAAGCTTTAACTTAAAACTAAGATTTTCGAAAATTGCCTATACCAAACCCCTTAATAAACACATACCGGTTAGGTGACTAATTTTTCAACCGTTGGTGGGTTTAAAGAAAAGGGACAGGTCCGCAAACTTAGCAAAAGGTCCAAAAAAATACTATTTCTTATTGAAGTATAGTCAATTTTTCGCTAAATCTTAATTCAGAGCCTTAACTATAGTGTACCTATACTTATTGATACAAAAATTAAGATTTTCTGTTGTTCGTTTTTTTTTTGATAGATTATCACAATCATTCTTATACAAAAGTTACAATAATTTTTCCACCAAAATAGTTTTGGTAAAAACTTTAAATGGTTAAAATTTTTACAGTAAATAGAGATTTTTATCTGTACAGGAATGATTTAAAATTTTCTGTAACATAAATAAAAACTAGATATTAGAATAACTTTTGATAAATATTATAATTTATTAAAATGACCCAATCCACAAAAATATTACATTTAGTTGTAATCTTCAATGTCGCCAGTGGCGTAACTAGACTAAAACGTCCGAGGTTAATGAATTTAAAATTCATAGAAAAAAATTATATTTTAATCTATGAAAGAATTGCCTCGTTTCAACATAAATAATATAATCCTCTATTTTACAATGAAAATTGTATGTATTTAGTACTGTCACAGTCACTTTCTGTAGTATTCATTTGCAAAAGTCCTATCTATACACTACAAATTCACTACAAGTTCAAAATTGTTAGTTTGAATAATTTTTTTTTAAATTTTCGTTCTGTGCATGAAATAGTTTTTTTTTTATTAGGTACCTACGTTTTTACATTATACGTGTAATAATTATGACCTTTCTGAAAATAATAACTAAAAGAACCATGTATGATATAATATCTGGCTTGATTTTTTGTTTTACAAAAATTTAATAGGAAAATAATTAATGAGGGGCTGTGTCAGGGACCCGCACAGGTTAGGGTCCACGACGCAAATGTCCGGTTTTCTGTGTAAAATCCGCTACTGATTCACTAATAGCTTTAACGAGACATCAATAAAAATGAATTTAAATAAATTATTATACTTACTCGACTAATCGGTCTTGCGAATAGCTTCGTGGCCAAATGACCTTCAAATGCTTGTCAGTTGTCTGTAAAATATATTAAAACCAATTGAACCAATTTTGAGCAGCGATTTGATTGGCGGTAAAATGTATTGTTGTACAGATACGGTAGTGATAAAGCAGAATATTATACAATTTATATTATCATCACACGAGTAAACAAATAACTGATAAGAAACTTCTTGCTATTATCTAAAGAACACGTAAATAATAAATAAACCGTAATATAATAGTAATTATTAATATTAATAAATAATAATATTACGATGTAACTTCCAAACGATTCGTTCATATTTTTCATCTTCATAACTTCGAATAACACAGTTTGTTCTACGTATTCACTCTGTTCAGTATTCCTAGTGTTGTTGTGACCGTTTTTTTCCCGTAAAATAGTAAACTTACTATTTAGCCAAAATAGAAGAAATGGTAACTTAGTAACAACTGTACTTACGTCAACAGCGAATGGATAAATGAAAAAAACTAAAAACTGGCATACCAGGTAACAATCATACTTGTATAATGCATCATGCTGTTGTTCCAGTCACTCTAGTTTAACAAGCGTGACTATTAGCAGTCCCAAAATGACCTAACCGTCTGTTTATATTATTTCAGATACGACATGTTGCAATGAAAACGTGGTGTGAAAATGTTTGGTATCGCGATTGCTGTCTTGGTGGCGGTAACATTTGTTTTATTTACCGTGTTCAAGAATAGCTCCGTAGACAAACTCCGACAAGAAACCAACTCGAATTTCAAAAAGATCCAAAAACGCTACTTGCTCATATACTGTTTGGCGGCGTTCTCCGACTGGTTACAGGGGCCGTATGTCTACAGTTTATACAAACATTTTGGTTACAATGAAGGGCAAATAGCAATATTGTTTATTACCGGTACACTGTCGAGCAGCTTGTTTGGAACAATAACCGGCGCTTTGGCCGACATCTATGGGCGCAAATCACTCTGCACTTGGTACGGAATATTGTATACGGGATGTTGTGTCACCAAAATATTTGGCAACTATCAGCTGTTGATCCTCGGACGGATTCTAGGTGGCTTAAGCACATCAATATTATTTTCGGCGTTCGAATCGTGGTACATCAACGAGCACATAAACCACTACAAACTACCCAACGAATGGTTAAATATCACTTTTGCCACAACGACGTTTTGTAACGCAACACTCGCCATATTGGCCGGTCTCATCTCGTACGTTCTAGTTACTGTTTTAGAGTTTGGGCCCGTCGCACCATTTATAATGGCCATTCCATTTCTGTTGACTACAAGTTTACTGGTGAGAGTATTTCTACACGAACATTACAAGCACAATACAAAATCGGCTTCGGCATCGCTAAAACAGGCTGTCGTGCTTTGGCTAGGTAATAAGCACATTTTTACTCTGAGCATGGTCCAGTCGTTGTACGAAGGTGTCATGTACTTGTTCATTTTTTTTTGGACGCCCGCTTTGGATTCTATAAAACCACCTTTAGGACTTGTGTTCTCAAGTTTTATGTTAGCCTTGATGATTGGCTCAAAGTTGTACTCGTTGATTATTGAACACCGGTTGTTGGAACCAAACGGGCTGTTGGTATTGTCCACACTTTTGGCGACAGTATCGTTTTTAATATGCGCATTGGCCATGTCCAATGTGTTTGTTCACCATGCGTCAAATTCAGTCAAAGTATGCTATTTATTGTTTTTATTATTCGAAATATCCATCGGTATGTACTACCCGTCAATGACTTATTTAAAAAGTCAGGTGATCCCTGAAAAGGTCAGAGTTACCATATCGAATGTTATAAAAATACCGAGTAATTTGTTTACTTGTTTAGCTCTGTTATGGATTCGAGACAACCAACAGAGCATAAGAACCGATTTCTATATTATTTTTACAGTTTACTTGATTTGCTTCATTGCCACTTTTGTCACGTTTGTAAGCTCCAAAATATTTTCAGTCCTGTACCGCAAAACGTATTTAGAATTCGAAAAACGTGACGAATTAGAGATATAAAGACTAATAAATTGGTAGCCTATTATAATTTTGAGTTATTTTTTATTTATTGACAATCGTTATTATGTTATAATAGCTACTAATAGACTATATATATTAGGGCGGTTCTTAAATGAAACATAGCGTTGGAAGGCCGTTATTCGGTTATACTTTTCTTTGCATCAGATTATACTAGTAATAAGCTTTATTTAGAATTTGTGAAAAAATTTATACTTTTTTATTTAATTATAAATTTGACGTTCAAACTGGGAGACTGAGGTAATAAAATAAAAGTCTAAAAAAATTAAGGAAATATTTTTGGAGTTGATTGATAGTTATCCAATATGGAATTAACCAATATAAATACTACCCTAAAATATATTTATTATTTATGTATATAAATTTAGTAAAATCTAAATTATCTAAATTCCTAGCTAAAAACTGTATACTTTAATTTTTAATGATTTTACAGATTATATTTTTAAGTAATACATACAATTTTATATTTAAAAAAAATGAAAATCTCAAAACCGTTCAATATTATCATAAATAATCGTAAATCATAGAAAAATAACATAAATGTTTAGGCTATTTTAAAGAAAACCAAAAAAGTTATTAAACATGTTTTAGTTTAAATTGAACAATTTTACACCCCATTTGGTGTTTACAAATTTTTGTTCAATTTGTTTACATAAATTACTCCGCCTGATTACAACATATCCCATTATAAGTTTCAAAATATTTTTATTAATTAGCTTTTGTTATGATCAAGGGTAACAATTATAATAATTTATACAAATAACTATATATTTTTTTAGCGGGTAACTAATTTCAGTTACCAGATTGTACCAAGTGATGAACTAATTTGGGATTCAACTTGATATTATTTATTTTATTTTTTTTTTGCAAATATGATATTTTAACGTTATGTAATAGTTTTTAAATAATTGTGTAGTTAAAATTATTTATTTTGTTAAATATACAAGAGTAATCAATAAAATGTTTAATGGAATGTTAACTTTTTATTGTTTTCTTCTTATTAATATATATATTTATATAACTTTGTTATGTGTGACAAACTATTAGATATTTTTAGTTCAAAGTTAATTTTAACTTAAAAAAAGTTTTGTTGGAAAGAAAGTGTAGTTGAGTGAAGAGTAAACAGAGAAAAAAAAATTACCAATTTAATTTGCTAATTACTAAAGAGTAAAAGAAAAACAGACTCAACAGGTAATTATTGAAATGTTATTGTCGGTCAGAAAACGTTTTTTATTAGATTACCTACTATTATTATTATTCATGATTTAAAATGTACATAATTATATATGTTAGTTTAAATGTTGCTTAAGTGGCTTCGAATAATATACTAAAAATGACAAACATTTGTAAAGTACACAATCATGAAAAATATTATTTCTAGTCATAATATTAAAAATTATATGATTGTATCTAACACTATGATATACCTATTATTACGAAATAACGTTCAAACAAAACTACAGATTTGCAATTGTTTTCTGAGATAATCAGTGGTTTAAGTTATGTGGATTATATTGATAATACCTACTATACATACTGCGTATCATTGCATTGATATTAAAATTAATTCTATTGGAATCTCATTAAAAAAAGCTTCAAGACGCCTAGGTTACTGTTAATTAGATTAAAAATACAGTAATAAACTTATAAATAATTACGCAATTTAACAAATGAATGCTTTTATTGGCTTGTCCAGAATTATAATTATCATTTAAAAATACTACAAATACGTTTAGCTTATTGTTAAAATTAAACTTCTGATAAAATACTTTTTAGTTCTTAAATATATATTTAAAAAAAATCATAAGATTCTGTTGGTGCTAGCTGTTGGTTGACATTTTTTTTTCTTACTGTTAACTGTAATAGATTTCCAAAAATTAAAATCTAAATAATTATTAATAATTCATATTTTCTAATTTACATTTTTAAAGAATACAGTATTGATAACAGTAATAATAAATAATAATTGTTAAGAATTGTTTATAGTTGTTTAAGTGCCCTAACTCCTACCACAGTATAGATACTAAATACCTAATTAGACTAGAATATTTAATGTTATGTACCTACCTACTTGATAGAGGATTAAGTTTTAAAGAAAATATCATACTCTTTTTTTTTTTTTTTTAAGATCTCATAAAAAAAAAAGATTACTTCATTAGAAGTAAAAATGCATTTTTTATACATTAACATTGAAATATTAATTATTTAAATCTATCTTACCTATTTTTAATTTAATTTTTAGCTTTTCCTCAAGGGGGTTATGCCACGGGCAACTTAGGCCTCAGTTTAGTTTTTTGATATTGTCGATATAAGTGGTATTGTGTTAAAATCTATCAAATGGTAGATTGGAAGAAAATTACTAGTATATAATTACCTAAAACAAATTAATTTAACCAACCTTGATTTTTGAATTTTCACGACTATCTACAAAATAATGACACCTAACTTAATTTTTAAGAAAAACCTAATAATAAGTGAGATTTTTTTTTTAATTTCCAAATTTACCTTTCTCAAGTTAACTTGTTCATCACCTGTGTCATCTGTTGACTATTGATTATGCAATTGCTTTGCACTTACATAGCAAGCTGGAAATGTATTACTAACAAATTTTAATTATCCACTTTTTTCAGGGGGGGGGGGTGGTCCTAAATAAATAAAATAGTTGGGCTTCTCTTAAATGTATAAATATAAATATGAATACAAAATGTAAAAGGAGTAAAAAAAATGTTCAAATTCTTTTCGTCGATATTTTTTAATTAAATAATAAATAAAACTTTAGATATTGTAATTGCAAGGACTATTGATAGGCTTTATTTATGTAGCCAATTATAGCGGTCTTAATGATTAGGAACGCTAAGTCCCACTACCCTTAAATCGCCTGTTGTACCTTTAAGATGCTAATTATACCTGGAAACAAATTTTCATTAGATCAATAGTAAGCATATTTAGGTGTTTTTATTTTTTAATTTAAAATGGAAAGAGTGTACATGATCAATATTTAACTGCCCTTCCTCCCCGAGTGCTCAATAAATTAAATCATGGATTGTTACATCAATATAATTTCAACCAATAACAAAAACCGTCTTAAAGATAAAATTGCAAAAGAAAACTTAGCTTAATCAAATACACAAAATTTTAAATAGAATTTCTAAATTTACAATTGATTAATACATTTATTAAATATCGCGTTTATTAGTTGCACTAAATGTTTAACACAATCATTTTTGGTTTACAATTTATTTTTAACGAGCTACTACCTATAATTGATTCATTTATTTATTTTATAAATATGGCCTTTTATTTTCTTATCTAATTACACCTATTTAAAAACAAGCATACTATAATTCAATTACTTAACTACACAAATATATTTTTATCCAACGATACAATTACCTACAAGTCTACAACGAAATAATTTATAACAATTTTAAAATTAACAAACTTTTTAACCGGTTTAAAGAAATGCCAAGAGAATCGATGATTTTCCACACATTGATTAATGGGATCATGATGACTATATTATATATATTCTGTGTTATTACGATGGTAAGAAATAAAATGAAATAAATGAAAAGAACACCATCCATTGATTTTGCTAAGACATCGATGGTATATGGCTACGTTATATTCTGTGACATACAAGACAAATGCTTCTATTTAAGACGTCGTCAATCCAAAAGACTGTAATTCAATGTTTGGTCTAAAATGTAAAACTATAAGTTTAATTTTAATATTAAACTAAAAACTAGCCTATACATAACACAGCATAAGAGTATTATTGTAGGTAAGTCGTAGTAATATACAATACAATGCGTAACTCATTTTTGGCGGTTCTCACTACATTTGCTTAACATTTTTAAAAATGTTAACTTCTGAACTATACATTAGGTATACAGTTTAACATATAAATTATAATTTTAGTACTATTGTTTATAATAAAAAAGCATACTTTTTTTAAAGAACAATAAAATATTTACCTTTTAAACTAAGTCATGAGACAGACAAATCCATAAAATAATTTTTAAAATATTCACTACAAATTAATAAATGTTTTAAACATTGCGTGTATTAGTTAAACAATTACTTGCTACTACAATTTATGTGTTTATTAAATTGAAATAACTCTGTTATAAAAACAGTATTATAACTCCACTAATATACAACTATTTATAACTATAAATATGTCATAAGTACCAGGTACTTATGTAGTACTATAAGTACTTTACAACTTACTTTTCTCTACTTGTTAATTGTAATAAATGATTTATAATAATAATACCATATAATATAATTAATGTTGAACTACTATCAGCTGTGCATACGCTATACTAAGTACTACATTATACTAATATATTTTGTTTGCCCGGCTGCTATTGCAATATTGAACTTGGCTACTTGGATATCTGGTTTCTTTAACTGAATGTTAATTAACATTATCCGAACTTGACAACTCGACGTTAACCATAAACGATACAATAGTGTATGATGTGCGTATAACCTAAAAAAAAAAGTTTATTTAACTTAGAATAATGTAAATGTACTTAAGATACCTGCTAGATATCAAATTAATAAATAAAGTTTTTTTTTATTTTTAACAAAAATTTGTAATCTTTTAGTGTAGTTTTGAGAAATAACTAGCCACTTTTTTTTTATTATTGCTATATATAGCATTCCTACATCTTTCGAATCTTTAAACACTAATCTTTGCGGCACTTCATATTTCTGAATACAATAGCACATCAATTGGTAAAGTGTACCTAATGAATAAACGCTCATTAATAAGGTTAAAATATCTCGAAACTTACACCTAAAAACAACTGCAAGTCGATGGCTCGGTTCGGCGTAGCTTTAATTTTCAACTGATTCGCATTATTCATTGCCATTGCTAAAATTAACAACTTTTTAAAACGTATATCCATTGCCGTCCAATCGCAACTATACAACCCAAAGTTCACACCATCTCGCTAAACAGATTATTTTTTGTTTTTATTTACTAATTATATACAACATATTTTCAAATTTACGGTAATAACTTACTTTTTCATTCATAAGGTCCGTAAAATAAAGATATATGTATAATACTATACAATAGGTTACCATAGTTGATAATACCGGTAAAAAGTCGTTTAAACTAAACGAATGGCTCACAATTTGCTAAAAATATAAAAGTCAGTTTAAGTAAAAAAAGCTTAGGCTATTGTTTCATTACCACTGCCATTATATAAGAACATGTGGCGATTGAGCAGAAACAAAGAACCACCTCAACCAAAACGACTGGATAGACAATTGAACAGAATTCTTTCATGTATCTGAAACAATTTGCATGTATAAGGAGCTAAACCGACGACGAGTTCTAAGTCAGTATTTAATTTATTAGCTAAAAGATAAAAAAAAATCCTTACAAATGCACATTTTGATAATCGGATATTATGATTTTCAATTCTTCATACATTTGAGTTCCATCAGCTATAATGACGAAAAACCATAATTTAATTAAATAATTTACGTTTAATTAACCGTAAACCACGACAAAATTATATTTTTAAAAATGATATAATGTGTAACTAATTAGATATTAGCCTAAAATTACTAAAATTTTAAATAGTGTCTATAGATATTGGGATGTAAATTATATGGATTTTAATTAATGTAAACCTGTAATTTCCCTGTTCTCACTATGCCTTTACACCATTTTATTATTAAAAAAGTACGGCTTTTTTTAAGTATTAAATAATTTAGGCAGCCAATAAAATTAGGTCACCCCCAAAAATACAATATAAGAGATCTTAATAGTTTTAGTACAATATTCATTTACTTACTTTTATTGATTCTGTTGTGACCAAATTTCTTTAATCCCGATATTATAGTTTCGTATTGAGCAGCTATTGCCGTGCAAATTGTGAAATAAAATATATCAAAACTAAGCAAAAATACGGCAATCGTCATGACAAACATGGATTCCACGGCATAATTAAGGAAAAAGTAGTTATTGTAGGAATTTTTGGAAATGGGAAGGTAAAAATTGACTACACCTAAACGTTGGAAATCGGTCAGATCATGTTTGGACATAGTAAAGTTATATACAAGAGGGCAAAATATCCATACAATTATGTTGAACATGTATAGAAATAGAAAACGTTTACAGAACACCATATTTCGACTTTGGAGGTTTACACTTTTGCAATTTAGGATTTTCAATTTTAAACTTTTCAAAAAATTATAACGTGTAATATCAAAAATTTTTAACATTCGGTTAGCATTAAGCAATATTATAATAGCTTTAAAGACAGAAATTAAGTAGTTTATGTAGACCATTAAAATTTCAACTATACGTTTGCTTTTAATAGTATAAAATTTCCAATTGTAAAATAGACCATAAGCACTGTACATAAAAAACATAATAGATAGTGCGATTATTAGGGTGATAGTTTTCGGTCTCTTTTTACATAGTAAAACAAATGATCGATACATTTCAGTAAACTGTACGTAATCTTCATCACTTTTGCTAATCGGTGGATTGGCCATGTTTCTTTTTATCCAAATACGGAATGCCTGAAATAAAATAGTCTAATATAAAATAAGATTATAAAATATAAATCGGATTAGCGATTTATATGAATTGTGAGATCGGAAACAGAACAATTTTTTAAAAAACCACATCAATATATTAATTTATTATTATCGTATGAATATACACGCTTATAGATGTGTTTAGAACTTTTGGTAACAGTTTGGTAATAGAGACTTATTACTACTAAAAGCTGTAAAAACTTGAATTTTTCAAATTTCGTTTTGTAGAACTCCGTATAAGGTATTTTTTTTTTCATATAACAATAAACATTATTATTAAAATTAGTATTATTGCAAAAATATTATTGTGTACATAATTTTACGAAATTTAAAAGTGTTATGTAAAAAAGTTATAATGTAGGAAATTTTGTTTTGGTAAGACATTATTAACGTAATATTGTTTAAACTTTTATAAATAATATTACTTCAAACATTTAAGCACAATATTGGATGTGTAATATTAGTAAAATAATATATTTAAAACTAATATTAGTTTCAAAACATTTCTATAACAATTCCTCGCAATTTAAATAATATTGTTTTAATAAAAATCTCATAAGCTGTCAACAACATTTTCAAACTAATATTAATTGTTTTTAAACATTCAAAAAACTATTTTTCAAACAACTAAATTATATCATATTTTTTGATGGACAAAAATCTATAAGAGCATAAAACTTACGGAATTGTTGTATATGTATTAGATATAAATACGTTTCTTTCACGAACACAAAAAAGATTTCCAAAATTGCTTTAACTTTCCTCTTGAGTAGGTTAGGACTTGGAACGAGTAGCGATGTATTAATGTGGTTGACAACTGACCAGCATAGAATGAAGAAAGCAATGGTTGGCAAACTGAACAGTACAAGAGGAGCAAGTAAGGCAGTATTTTTTTTTCTAAATTCATGATTTTATAAGTAGTAGGCGTGGTAGGAGCATATTTGACCATTTAAACGTTATGATGATTATAGCTTGTGAAAAGTATTCTAAAAGGTCATATAAAAAATTCACGTCAATTGAAATGTAACTTTTGCTTGGCGAACTTAGGAAATGAGTAGTCTATATAGACTACTGAAATGCACAAAATGATACGTTAGCCGGCAAATCGATGTGAACTAGAAACCAAAAATAATAACAGACCTGGATTTAATAGTTAAGCTTAGGTCGTGACTATGTTATATAGAAGATTGAATGTTATTGTATTATTAATATACTACTACATCGGCTATGCAGTTGGTGTGTCTACTTGGCTATTAGTACAGTTTTACAATGCTTAGATTAATTTTTTTTTTATGCACTTTTTCGCATTAATATACGTTGACAGTAAACACCACTATTAAATATTAGTATTCGGATACTTGTAACCGTGATCTGTTATAGGTTAACATAGGGGGGGGGGGGAGAGGGTGAGAAAATGTTTACTAATAACGTTATTGTTATAAATTAAGACATCGAATGTCTTACGTTAACAGTTGAAGATATACATTAATAATTAAAACGCAACACTACAAATACCTACAACCAAATCATTTATAACAATTTTAAAATTAACAAACTTTTTAACCGGTTTAAAGAAACACCAAGGAAATTAATGATTCACAACGAATTGAAACATGTCGTTAACATACTATTAATGGGACCATGAAGACTATATTTTTATGATGGTAAGAAATAAAAAAAATTAAAACATTTTTCAGTCGAGTCTGCAACCACGAATGAGCATTTTCATGTCTCGTTGAAATACCGAATGAATTTAGAGTAGTGGTGGAATTATAGACAATGAAATATATTAAGTATATTAACAAGCTATTATCTATGGTGGCTAGTAAACACATCAAATTTCTGGCTAATATTTTAGTGTTTTCATAAAATCAGGCATAAAACAATTCATAGGAATATGGCCTCTTAAATGATTGAATTTATTTTTATTTATGGTTGTAACGTTGCGAATACAATTTAAATAATAATGTTTTAATAAAATTCTCATAAGCTGTCAACAAAATTTTCAAACTAATATTAATTGTTTTCAAACATTCTAAAAACTATTTTTCAAAAAACTAAATTATATATATATATTTTATTTTTAAATAAAAATATATACATTAAAATAAAACTTACGGAATTGTTGCATGGGTTTTAAATAAAAATACAATTCTATCACGAGAACAAGAAAGATTTCCAAATTTCTTTTAACTTTAACTTTGAGTAGGTTAGGACTTGGAACGAGTAACAGTGTATTAATGTGGTTGACAAGCATAGAATGAAGAAAGCAATGGTTGGCACTTGGCAAACTGAACAATACGAGAGGAGCAAAAAAGGCAGTTACATATTCATGTATGGTGAATAAGAAATATGGTAAAAAAAGGGACGTAAAAAGGTTCTTGGTTGTGAGCTCTATAATTGTCTATTATCGACTATTCAATGATAATTAATGGCGATAATTACAGGAGTAATATTTAGTATCTTTTTCTAAATTTATGTTAAGTTATAGGTAGTTTGCGTAGTGGAAGCATATTTGAACATTTGACCATTATAATAATTATAGCTTGTAAAATGTATTCTAAAAGGTCATATAAAAAATTCACGTCAACTAAAATGCAACTTTTGCATAGCGAATTAAGGAAATGCATAAAATGAATAGTTAGTCGGCAAATCGATGAACTAGAAACCAACCGAACCCATAAATAATAACAGACCTGAATATTATAGTTTAGCTTTTGCCATGACTGTTATATAGAAGATTGCATGTTAAACTGAAGGCGTTTGTATTATTAATATACTACATTGACTATGTAGTTGGTTTGGCTTCTTTTATTCTGGCTATTGGTAAATGTTTATAATATTTAATTAAAACGTTTTATTTTAATGCACTTTTCGCCTTAAAATAGTTTGGCAGTTGACAGCTAAACACCACTACTAAATATTAGTATTCTGATGCATGTAACCGTGATCTGTTGACTGTTATGGGTGTTAACATGATGGGGTGGGAAGATGAGATAATGTCTATTAATAACGTTATTGTTATTAATTAAGACATCTTACGTCGTTTATAGATGTTTGTTCTATGTACCTTGTATCTATATAATTTGTTTAATTACTTTAGGATTAGGTAACACAAACGTTTACAAAGAACTTCGATTAAATTGATTAATAATAATTTAATTATTTTTGAAAATATAATTAGTAAACATGATTATACACTTGGCTCTTGATAGTTAAGTATAGTAATGCAATCCTTAAACGTGTAATTATACTACTTTATCAGTGTAAAAAATATTAGCCTTTGGAAATTTGTCTTAGGGAAATAAGACCATTTTAATAAGAACATGGTTAAAGAAGAGTTATTTTCTCTTAACGGATGTTCTCAAATTAGTCCATTATTTTTTTGTTTTCGAGATAATTTGTCTTGAAATAATTACTTTTTTTATTATTTATTTAGAAAACTAATACTCACATTGGCACAGAGTACAGTTTATAGTTTACAACAGTTGAAGATGTTTAATAATAAAACACAATAATTAAAACGCAACACTACAATTATCTACAAGTCTACAACCAAATAATTTATAACAATTTTAAAATTAACAAACTTTTTAACCGGTTTAAAGAAACACCAAGGAAATTAATGATTTTCAACGAATTGAAACATGTTGTAAACATACCATTAATGGGAGCATGATGACTATATTTTTACGATGGTAAGAAATAAAAAAAATGAAAAGAACACCATCCATTGTTTTTGCCAAGACGTCGATGGTACTACCTAGTACCTTATATTCTGTGACATACCTACTACAAGATAAATGCTTTTATTTAAGACGTTGTCAATCCAAAAGACTGTTATTCAATTGTTTGGCCTTGAATGTAAGACCATAATTTTAATTTTAATATTAAACTAAGAACTAGCCTACACATAACACAGCATGAGAGTATTATTGTAGGTAAGTCGTTGTAATATACAATACAATGCGTAACTCATTTTTGGCGGTTCTCACTACATTTGTTTAACATTTTTAAAAATAATAATTTCTGAACTATACATAAGGTATACAGTTTAACATATAATTTATCATTTTAGTACTGTTGTTTATTTTAAAAAAGCATACTTTTTTTAAAGAACAATAAAATATTTACCTTTTAAACTAGGTCATGAGACAGACAAATACATAAACTAATTTTTAAAAAATTCACTAAACATTTGACAGCAGTCTATATAAGGTTGAAATATCCCTGAGGAAAGACTGGGACATAAACCACCTGACACAGAGTGGAGGGTTTGTAGTGTATACAGACGGATCCAAAATGTCGGGTAAAGTAGGTGCTGGTGTATGGGGCAAGAAACCACACATTAGTATCAGCATACCACTAGGTACAACACCTACTGTCTTCCAGGCAGAAGTGATGGCGATCCTAATATGTACTCAAAACCTGGCAGTATATAAGAGGAGAAACATTACTATTCTTAGTGATAGTCAAGCAGCTTTGAAGGCACTGATCAAAACTCAAGTAACTTC